TATAGGAAGTTCTCTAGTAAATTAGTGGAACACAAAATGAAACGCTCAAAACGGCTTGTTAGTAAGGCGAAATTAAAATTTCATTGAATTCCTTTGATTCTTGACTTATGATGTGTGTAGGTTTGATGAAATTATTCATTATCAGGGTAAAAATACTCAACGTTGAAGTACCTTTGGTGCCATCAAATCGCATTTGCTTGTCATTGCGTTAAATTGGGTAAAACTGATTCATAGAAATATTAACAATGAAACAAGGAGATTACTTAAAAACTTGTGTCCTATTCTCTTATATTTACGTCTTTCCATAGGATAAACGGAATGAGGTCTTTTGTTGCAAGTAATTTACCTTCGTAGTACTGTAGTAGTAAATTCTTTATCGTACTCAGTAATAATTATGTGTTGTTGAAAACTATGCTCCGATCAGTTGACTCTCCGAAACCTACCGAGTCGAATTTCCAGTACCACTATTCGAAACGTAAATTTGTTTTTATTCTTTAAACGTTAAGCTAAGACATATCAGTCCCTTAAATCGTCAACTCTGTTTGTAAAGGTTTGAACTATTTGGTATTCCAATATAAACTGCCAGATAACTTTCATAAGTTGTACGAAGGACTCTAAAGGCCACCCAAACAAGAGCTGAGATAATCAAATGAATTTCTTGCTATTATGAAAACTACCTATCCAGCAAAAAAAAGAAATCCACTTGGTTATTTCACTTGTTGACGGGTTGCCTTTTACTGTCACTCAGTTGTACAGAATAAATAGATCCTAATTACCGCCAACTCATAATCTTGCGAAACTGTTTATCAGAGTAGTCATTTCTAATGACTGACTAGTTAAGTTTGAAATAATACTACGAAAAAATCAATGTAATTAGTTCTTAGTACTGGACATAGAAATGCTGTCGTCTTTTCTTGAACCATTCAACTATATTTCTCTGACAAACGTTTAGTAAATTTTTGTTAGACGCATTTTTGAGTAGAAAATAGCCTTAAGTTGTCTTCATTTTTTAGTCAATCAAACTCATTTTAAAATGTAAACAGCCAAAAAGGATATGCTGTTTTGCAGGTTCTTAGGGTGGTAAGTAATTGCTGCCTTATTTATAATCTTCCATAAAACAGCTAAGATTTAGAACATCTTTAAGAGTTGAATGTTCTCTTATTCCATACGGAAAACATAGTTGATTAATTTTCAGTACAGAAATGATGACTGATGTTCAAAATAGAATCCAAGAAATAGCATGATTCAAACCGCCAACCGCAGGACTAATGTTTGTATCCTTTAGCTGTGACTCATGAAAAAGAACGACTAGACAGCAAAATTGCAGAAACTTGAATCACATTCAAACGTTTAAGAAAATAGACTAGAGAAAAATGATCGCGTGAGTTTCAGCGAATATACACAACTAGTGACATCCCCAGGGATTAATTACTATGTGAAAAAGTAAGGAAATTTTGTGTTACCTGACCAGTTCGAGGGAACTGAGTTGCCATCTTAAGGAATAAAGTCTAAAACATGTACATCTTAAGGCATTTTGTACTATAAGAGATGGAATGGAAAAATCGGACACGTAGTTTTTGCTGTAAACAAGTAGACCATAAATGAGAATTGGCAAAAGTTCAAAATGACAGTTTGCATTTTTCTAACAAAATTAATAAGCTCTTAGTCTTACAGAACGAAATGATTTGTGCAAGCGTTTTAGAGTTTGTTTACTATCTCTGCTAAAAGTAATTTTCGATGTATTTTCAGAAAAAAGGAACACAGGTTGACAACTCCTGGGTCTGGCATCCCATTACTCTTCCCAAAACACAACATAATAATTAGACTTCACGGGGAAAATAGTATTTGAGACAAATAAAATTGAAGGTTGAAAAACTGACTACTGTCTTCCTGTGCCCTATCACCTTTTACTAACTGGGCTGTCTTGTTTCTTTTCTGTCAGCGATCATTGATTATACACAGCTGAGATGACCAGCTTTTCGTCACTATCCAGGATCAAATAGAAATTGTGAATGGAAGTAATTAGGATGTATGACTACATCATACTTCTTAAAGACACAGTGTGGATCAGACAGATCTATCCCTTGATGTGGTACTTTCATTAAAGTTACCTCATGAGACAGTTATAGACCTTTTTTCGTTTGGTTGATTTAAAACTACTATCAAGGAGTTCTGAGGTGACAACTCAAATTATTTGACTGTCAATGCAAACACCTTTCATTTAAGGGAAACTTACCGACTAATCGCAAGGAAATGAACTACTTTATTGTAAGACGTAATCTTTTGAAAGTATTTACGCTTATAATCTGATTTGACCGTGTATGCCTAAAGTCTTTGGCTATTTGGACTTATTACTTGGTGATGATCTACTTTACAGAAATTAGGATTATGTTTTTTTTAATACAGCAGAAATGAACCTTCACCAGTAACTTTATTGAGAACTCAGATCTTTGAGACTATTCATCATCTTGACACACAGTTGAGTGAACAAGGAGTATTCTTTAAGATTCCTTCTTCTAACAGTTCTATATGTATTTATTTATCACTGGTTATGTTTGCATGTACATTAACTTCAGTTAGATCTCCCCTAGAATGTAATGTTAATATTATATATATAAAAGCAGAATTTACATACTGTGGTAGGACATAATTCTACATTGGATTAGTTTATTTGACATAGTACATAATGATGTAATAATATTTGCTGAGTATATAATACTATATCATTATGTGTTACATCAAATAAACTAGTCTGAGGATGACTTTATATCAGATTATCAGTGAAATTTCTTTGGAAAATATACATGTCAATAACAATATGCAAATGTGAATAATGACAAGATCCTATTCAAAGTAATTTGGTTTGGTATAAACGTTTTGTTCAACGGTTGATTGTAAAACCCAGGGAATTCTATAAAAAACTGACGATTTTAAGAGATGACAAAGAATGACGGTTGCAGTGTAAATGAATTCTTTTCAGTGTAAATAAGTAAACGGAAGATAAGACCGCATACAGGAAATATACTGCTGGATGTATTAAGAAAATCTTATTTTTCATCTGAGCTTAGAATTGGATTGAGTAATAGTTGGATAAGTAGACTGTACAAAATTTTGGGACAAAAAATTGAATAAAGCTGATGCATTTTAAGATTATCGGTGGTGGTAGAAGTTTAAAAATTAATATTTTCAGGTACTAGCATGCCATGGATTTTGTTTGTTCAAAACCAATCTAGAATAGTAGTAGTGATAGTGGTGTGTGGTTTTCTATTGGTGGTGGTATTGACTGCTACTGCTTAGGATGAATCAGGATCAGTTTGTAACGCGGAGCTTTATATTTGAATGAGTTTCACTTAAACATAGATTAGTTGAACACTACACTAGGTGTTCTAATCGGTACTTTAACTCATGACTTCAATATTGATGGCTGATGTTTATCGATTGGTGACTATTCACTTGTAATGCAGGTGCATGAAGTCAAAAGAACCGACTACGAGTTCACTAAATCAGATTGCATTTCGGAATAAGATACAGACTGAGGTCAATGAGTTAAACTACTTACTAATATATAAAAATAAAGATGAAGTTAAATATTTCCATTGTGACGTCTGAATACCGGATAGTTATTAGAGGGTTAAGTGAAACTAAGAAGACTGATAAAAGTTTTTTCAGTGATAAGTGGAGGGTTGTATTTCATCTGCCCTTATACTTTGCGAAGAATTAATGTGGAGTCACCATAGTTGTAGCAAATTATTTTGAAGTTACATTACTTTCTTCCATTCTTCTTCATATTTATGGAAAGTATTTGTTTTGAGGAATTCCAGTGTCACTTATTCCGTGGACAACGAGATTATCACTTCTGTATCTGAATCATAGGTGTTTCGTGAAAATAACAAAAAATCTGTTACCACATTGATTAAGTTTAATGACCTATTAATTTATACATTCAAACAATAGTTTAATAGTTCTACGAGCATCTATTTAATTGATTTTAAAAAGCTCTACTCATTTAGTGACTGCTCACTATTTCACATGCTGAGATATGAAATATTAGATCTTTCTTACGTAAAAATCCAAAAGAGACTAAAAACCGCAGATGAAAATTTGTCAAAGAAAAAATGTTTGATAACTGACAAACTCGACGAAAGAAATCTTCAGATTATTAATGTATTTTTTCACCGAATGAACTGTACAACTCAAGACAACCAGTTTGAAACAAGCTATTACAAACAGAAAACGTGCAGAACAAGATTGCCTTTCTTGCATTTTTTACTGGAAGTTATCATGATATGCTAATTCATTATTGTTGGCAAATAAACTAGTGTTTCAAATCAGGTACTTATTCACTTGATTGATTAGATTGAAATTACAAGTTAGTTTGTCAGGTATCTGAAATGTACTCAATCCTTAATAGTGTCAGTTATTA